ATACGCAGTTTGTTTCTGAGGAATTTCCCAAAAACCTTTATTGTCGACAATGTCATGTAGTTTCGGTAAAACATACATTAACACGTTCGTTAATGGAGTAGATAAATATTGTTGAAAAATTCGACCACAGTCCCACCTGTTTCGTCATAGTGCTAATTAAAATAGTTGAAGTATAGATTTTGTGGATCATCTCTGATGATGATCTGGTAGTTGAAAAAATATTCAGTTATAGATCCATCAATTTATATTTACTGTTAAGTTCTATCGCACAAATTTTTCAAATTTGTTTGTTTTTCGAATTCCTTGAACGAAATCGAAATTCAGAAACTTGAACATTTGAACTAACCTCATTCAGTGTTTGAATTTTTTTGTATACCTAACCCCGATACTGAGAATCACCTCAAAAGGTATTCAAGTTTAAGGAACCATGATGATGAAGGTAAGTTGACCGAAATTTTACATGCTAGGCAAAATTCTCACAAAAATATTTAATTAATGAAAAACAACTTCAGCAAAGATCAGTAAGATGTTAGAAAAAGCAAACTATTCGAGAAGACCTGTAGATAGCATTGATTTTTTCACTCATTTTGGTCTCAAGAATCACAATATTGATGAACGTCATCCTAATAGTAGTTGAGTTTTTCAGATATTCTTCAGTTATAGTAGGTTTTTTTAATTCCATAACCTATATCAACTATTAAAAATGCAAAACTTCTACAGAAACTTCAACCTCTATATAAATATATTCTTCAACATGTGAAACAGATTATATTATTGAGTGATATATAGATATGATAATAACTCTAAACTCTTACTTTGTTCCTAAAAAAATATAAAAAAATATTCGATGAGATATTGTGTTTTCAATGCTATACAGAAAATACTATTTTTGAACGTTTTCAGTCTCAATACTAATTGTATCTAATGAACATTCAATGAATTCAACATACTTTGAGTACTGTAAATGAAAAAAAGGGCAAAGCCGTTACGAAAGTATTCATAAACCCATCAATTTTTTTTCATATTCAATTTATTTTCCATTTTTATAGAGAATCAAAATTCTAGAATCAAAGAGATCAAATTGAATATTGAAAATTGGTCACGAAGTAGATTCTCTATAGTAGTTCCTCAAAGATCATACTGAATTATTATATATTCTTGGCCGCTTTGTAGACTTCCTCAAGTATTTTAATCAATACCAATTTGCAAATCAGAAAACTTTCTTCCTTCTTCATGAATAGCCAAATATTTCAATGAAATCTTGATTTTTTTTCAGTATCTTGTAGTCCTGCTAACCCTGCTGATCCTTTGCGGAGCAAAGCCAGAACCGAAACCAGGTTTTGGAAGGGGATTTGGAAGGGGATTTGGAGGAGGATTTGGAGGATTTGGAGGAGGATTTGGAGGATTTGGAGGAGGATTTGGAGGATTTGGAGGAGGATTTGGGGGAGGATTCGGGAGAGGATTTCGAGGAGGCCTAGGAAGATACCACGGAGGATTTTCGAGATTTGGGGGTTTTGCTCCTCCACCATTCTATTACTACCCTAGGAGAAGAACGGTCTTTGGTGGGATAGGAGTTGGAGTGATTGTGGGTGGTGGTATTGGTCGGTGGTAGTTAAATATTCATTTGAAGTGTTTTAATGATGTAGAAGTAGAAAGTTACAAATCTTCCGTCCCAAAAAAAGGTAATGAGCCAGTTATTATAAAATTGAAATGTTTGAAAAATAAGATTCAATTTTTAACTTTTTAAAAATATGTACGTGTATAATCTGAATGATTAGCACATCACAGCAAGAAATGAGAACCGAAGAACTAATACAGGTTTGAATTAATTACATGATATATGTCAACCTCAAAATTTGATATTTCCACAAGGTCTTCTTCAAGGAACAACAGGTGGTTTTCCTATTTTCAAAAAATGATATATCATTCACGATGTACATTATTTGTGTTTGTCTCCACCTTCCTGAGGTTATTTTTTGGTGTC